CCATTGGCAGCGAGCTGATAGCGGAGGTTGGGGCCCGGCCGGGGCGGTCCCGCCGCGGGGAGATGTTGCACAACGCGGGGACACGGCTCAGCTTTGTCACCGGGACTTTATTGGAGCTGCCCCGAGGACTCCGGGAACCCGGTGGAAAGGGAAACGTCCTCCACCCCAGCCAGGAGCACCAATCTGGACCCCCAGCTGAGTGTCGCAGCCTCCCGCCGCGGCACTTTCCTGGCTCCTCAGAAGAGGCTGTTCATCAGGGTCTGCGCCTGCTTCAGCTCTGCAGAGAGAGGACGGAGATACGGGGGAGCTGCCGGTAGTGCAGCCTCTCCCCCTGCAGAATCCCCCACTGCCACCCCTCCTGGCGCCTCACCTGCCAGCAGCACCCAGAATTTGTTGGCCGAGAGCGTCACAGGGACAGCCGTGGTCTTGTCGCGCTCCGTGTCCCGCACGTTGAAGGTCAGGTGCACCACGGGCTCATTGACCTCCTGCAGCTCGCTGGAGCTGAGGGTGTAATCCACCCGCCAGCGCACTGAGCCCAGCTGGCTCACTAGGGCGGGCAGTGGGATGGTGTCGGTACCACGGGCACTGACACCGACCCCCACAGCCCTGCTGGGACCCGACACCGCACTCACATCGCAGGCTGCACGCCCTGAGCCTGTCCTGGAGGGGGCTCTGCTTCTCCTCGTAGGAACGGCACAAGCCGCTGGCGTGCTCTGCTCGTCAGGGGACACAAGAGAAGAAACCCTCTGCTCACAGCAGACCTGCAGCTGCCAAACCCCACCAAAGCACCTGAGGAGCCCCCAGGGACCGAAGGCTCAGAAGGGAGGTGATGGAGGACAGCACAGCAGCCAGCCTGCCTTCATCTGGGTGAGAACTGTCAGCAACATCCCACCAAGTCTGGCTCATGGTGCCAGCCCGAGGCTTTCCCCTACCTTTGGGCAGTCCCAGCTGCTGCAGCTCACTTGACAGAGACTCACTGTCTACATTGTGCTTGGCTGCACTGGAGAGGATGAAGCCGAGGACAGCGATGGTCGCCTTCACATCCCCCGACTCTGCAGACGGGAGGGAGGGTGAGCTCTGTCACCTTGGGAAGGCATCCCCAGACACATTGCTGCCCATGCCTGGAGCACGGCTCCATCGGGGCATCCTGGCAAGGACAGCAGTGCTCACCTAACTTTGCATCCGAGGTCAGCTTCAGGATCTTGTCATACTGTGGGAGAGTACAGCGTCACAGTAAGCAGCTAACACACTACCAGTGCTAACACTAACAAATCCCACATAAATATTAGTACTAATAACGCTTATTATACATATTATTACTACTAGTAGAGGCCGGTAGCGTTCTTAACGCTGAGGCTTCCATGAAGAACACGAGATTAATTAACGTCGTGTGTGCCACTGTATTGTTGAAACACTTGGCCTCCACTGCGCTAGCCCCACACTTACCTCGATGGCCTCCCCCAGCAGGTCCCGCAGCACTTGGGCGCAGATCAGCTTCAGCTTCACCGAGGACTGCGGGGGAGAAGGAGGGTGAGCAGGGGGCCCGCGGGGGCGGGC